AGGGAATGTGATGTTCCCTGCACAGCATAGGAAGAAGATAAACTAACGAAGTCATTTTCCTCTATATGATGAATTTTCACGGTCCGAGATCTCGACAGCGGCCTAAATGACGGTTTGCGGCCGAACGAAAAGGAAGCATTGGCAAATTTTGTAGCTGCTGGTCGACAAGTCAATGAAGAGCTAAGTGTTGGTGGTAAGATTGCCATAACCGTCATGCATTCTTCGAACACCTCCTGTCTTCTAAGGTCTTCATTACAGCTTATGTTCTTTACTTTCAAACTTTCCGAGGTACTTGGCTCACTTTCGTCGTCTGTAGAAAGACCAGAATCGCTTGAATTACCAGTCGTTGGAACTCTATTCTGTTTGCGAAGGAGTGGTATCCTCTTCCAAGCACGTAAATACTTGGACTCGTCCTCAGCACTCAATCCTCGGGATTTGAGCAGCTCGTCCACGCGATTATGCGCTGCTAGTAATCGAGCTATGTATTCGCTTTGTGTAATGTGTTCGTCCTGACTGGTTGGTTTTTGGTCCTTAGGTTTAGGAAACTCTGGTTTGGACACCACATCGCCAACTGCTGATGTGCTGCTACCACCATCCAGGCTTCTCCTTGCGGAAGTTCCTGAATCCGGATATGATTGCTGCTGTTGTTGCCTGCGCTGTTGAAGATAAGTCTGTGCAGCCGTTTGAGCATTTGAAGATTTTCTAACTCCATAACGTTCTAGGAGAGCGTTGGTTTCTTCGCTACGAGGAATTCTCGAACTTGTTGCACCGTCCTGAGCTTTTTTATCGTCGGACAATCGGCGGATTTCTCTTGATCTAGCAGAGTAGTCCGTCCCACTTTCTCTACCCGCTTCTCGCAGAAACGACCCTCGGTCCCTGTACTGATTCTGCTGTGCAGTGGCAGGAGGCTGTTCGTAACGATTCACTGGTCTGGTACTACTCGAACCGCTCCGAGCTAGTGGTGGTGCTGGATTATATGAAAGTATAGATTGACTAGGACCAAACGACTTATAGCTAGAACGCATCTCCACCACTTCACCTCCCGTCA